CTTGGGGAGTAATTTTAATTCCACCTGTTCTGGGTTTCTGAAAAACTGACCCGAGACATTTACTTCTATTGGCATATGGTCTGAGTAAATTAAATCGACAACTTTAAAGTTTTTGACTAATTGCCACCATAGTTCTTTAATTAAGCAGTAATCTATTACAGAACGACCATTATTTCTTACATAAGTAAATTCATCGAAGCTGTCGCTATCTGTTCTGCCATTTACTACAGATAGGCCGAAATTTTCACACATTTCACACAGTTTTTTCCCCTTATTATCGCATATACTGTCCCTCGAAGTTCTGCTTTCTCTTAGCATCTGCAGAGTATACGGATTATGTTCGTAAACTTGCTTATCACCAATTCTTGCATTAAGATCACCAACAATCATAACATTTTCTAGTCCAGCATCTGTGAGGAAATCATGAAAGTTCTCAAAATCGCTTTCCCAGTTATTGCAGTTTATATATACTGGCACAATGTGCAGGCTACCGTTAGTCGTGGTTAATTTAACAAGTGTTCTTCTACCGGACTCGATAAAGTTAGCTTTATTTGTAAAATGTGTTTGTTTCTTTATTGCATATAGTTCACCTCCACTGGCTCTACCGCAAATATTTGTTCTTTTAGCAGGTATCCATTCTATAATATAATTATGTAACTTTCTTACTACTTCTTCTAATTTTTCTTCTAAAAATGTTTCAAATAAAAATATAATATCGAATGAACAAATATATTCGTAAAATTGGCTGTGTAAGGTTTTATTTTTTAGACCGGCTACATTATATGATAATATGTTCAGATTAAAGCTGCCCTGTAATGCTGACTCGTCGTTGAAATCTACGGTATGTTTAATTTTAAAAACTTTTTTAATTTTATTTGGCTGTGTTGTTTGGCATTTTTTTACTGTGCAAAAGCTTTCCGAAATATTTACTAGTTTTTTGGATTTATTTTATTGTGCAGTTCAATATAATTCGTACATATATTTTTTACCTTAGTACCATATAAAATTTGCAAAGCAGGACCCGCATCTTCATTATCGTTCATTAACTTGTTATTTCTGTCCCACCTAAACCATTTATTTCCTATCCGTATTTTATCGTCTCTAACGGCAACGCGGTGTTTCGTACTTACTTGCAGTATTTGCTTTTTTAATTCCAGCATAATTCTTTTATTCTGCTGTTTTTCGAACGTCAAGTCCCGTTCCACAAATATTGCTGTCCCTGCCAGCTTACCAGCTGTTTTCAGTATATCTACTGCGTTTTGTTCAGTATCCATCTCTACTAGAATGGTCATTTTACCGTCTTTTTCCGACATTTTTTTAATATCTTTTATTGTTTGTTGATGCCGAAACTTGAAGAATATCAGTGCAAATTTTTTCTACTTCTTCACCTACTGCTTTGTTCGCCAGTAGACTTTTGAAAATTAGATTTTTCTTTTTTGCTTGTGTTTCAAGTGTAGAAATCCTTTTACTATCTAAGGCCCTATATGCTTTGAGATTTTCAACTTCTTTTTTTAGACTTTCGTTTTCTTGCCTTAGCGCCATAACATCCTCAGAAAGGTAGGTAATTTTTTCTAAAACTTCTTTCTT